ACTATATATGTGTATGTATGTGTGTGTGTGTGTTTGTTTGTGTGTGTGTTTGTTTGAAGGCCATCAGATTGATGATGCGATTGTAAAGGTATTTGTTTCGGTGCACGTGTACGTGAAAAAGAAATACAGGTAATTTGTCCATAATAAGTCCCTTTATCCATAATATGACTATATATATATCTTTATCGTGACAAGGAACAAAATTTGTTCCATTCGTACAAAGCTTAGCAAAGTGACTGTTAGTCATATCAGATGATATAATAGTTAAGAATATATAGAAATAATATACGCACACATACACACACACACACACACACACACACACACACACACACATATATATATATATATATGTATATATATATATATATATATATATATATATATATATATATATATATATATATATATATATATATATATATATTACAGGGTTTTTGTGACGTAATATACAACACCAACCCAGACAATATATCACTGCAAACTTTTACAGATGTTGTTAAAAGTCACTTTTTTCCCCAACTTTAAGGTTAAACATTGTTGGAAGAAAGATCAAGGAGCAATGTAAAAAGCATAAATTATGGTCTGTGAAAAAATAAATAAAAAATATGAATCACAAAATAAAAATCTGCTAATTTACGTATATTTTTTTCTACATCTCTACATCCGTCTTCTGTCTCTAAACTTGAATATCCTCATTTCTACGTCACTTTCTTCAGTCCTGGACGGTAGTGCTTATGGATGCTAAACATAACATAGACTTAACAATGTAGAACAATCCAAAATCTCCATCAAAACTAGTTACATCTTGCTAATCTGTGAGCTGATCTGCTGTTTTCTGCATTCATGCACAGTGAAGCGCTCGGATGATATCATCTGGAAATGCTCAAAGAATTCAGTCAGACATCTCACTCAACCTGTTGCTTCTGGACTCGCTTTCAGCATAAACACACTCGTAACTGTAAAAAAATGATTCGTAAATTAGCAATTTTCTTTATTTTGTGATTCAAAAAAAATTGTATGTATGTGTAAATTAATTAATATCTCTTGCAAAGATTCAAAGATTTTAAGCCTACCCGAGTTTTGGGCTTGAAAACAGTAATGGCAAGCCTTTAAAGCATACATGATGAATGTCCTGCTCCATTTAGTGACTAAACATGGCATATATAACTCCATCTCCCACAAGAGAAAGGCTGTAATTATTCCAGCTCGCCAAAAATGAGCGCAGAACCATGTGGTTGAGTCAACTTCCCTCAACTCCATACGGCTACTCTTATACAGTCCTGTAAACACCAAGCAGATCAAAATACTCATTCATTCATTTCCCTTCAGCTTAGTCCCTTTATTCATTAGGCGTCGCCACAGCAGAATGAACCGCCAACTATTCCAGCATATGTTTTACACAGCAGATGCCCTTCCAACTGCAACCCAGTTCTGGGAAACATACTCATTCACACACACTCACACACAGCGTCTAATTCCCCATAGAGCATGCATTTGGACTGTGGGGGAAACCGGAGCACCCAGAGGAAACTCACACCTACACAGGGAGAACATGCAAACTCCACACAGAAATGCCAATTGGTCCAGCTGGGACTCGAACCAGTGACCTTCTTGCAATGAGGCGACAGTGCTAACCACTGAGCCACCGTGTCGCCTGATCATAATACTATATGAGAAAAAAGCGCACACATGATCTGACATCATAACAGCTACAGGTCGTTTTCCTGAATCACACACGATGAACCGAGAGCAGGGAGGAGGCCTGGAGCTGTTATTAAAAGACTTTTCCGTTTCCTCCAGTTATTGAGCTCAGAAAAAAAAATAATAAATTGCCAGGCTTGAAGTTTTCGAACAGCGTTTCTGTGGTGAATTTCACTAATGCTGCAGTCATTTTGGTCGGAACAAATTGCATTGAGTTTAATGCGTTTCTTGTGTGTGTGTGTGTGTGTGTGTGTGTGTGTGTGTGTGTGTGTGTGTGTGTGTGTGTGTGTGTGTGTGTGTGTGTGTGTGTGTGTGTGTGTGTGTGTGTGTGTGTGTGTGTGTGTGTGTGTTTGTGTGTGTGTGTGTGTGTGTGTGACATTACGAGGGTCATGCATTTAAAGGGGTCATATTTGGGAGATACAACACGAGCGCCCAGAATATTTCTGTGTAATTTCGGCTCAAAATACCCTGTGGTTATAATGGAGGATCAGTGTCCTGCAGAGTTTAGCTTCATCCAGCTTCAGCATGTTTCTATCTCGATCCTGGAGGTCTGGTGCTCTGCAGAGTTTAGCTCCAACTTGCTTCAACACACCTGCCCTGAAGTGTCACGTATACAGTTGAAAGCAGAAGTGTGCAAACACGGTATAAAAAGGCACATCACCATTTAAAAAGAGTCAGATGTTACTGTGACTAAACGTTTTCTCTTTTAGGTAAGTTAGGATGATCACATGTGTTTCTGTTCTGCTTAATAGCAGAATAATGAGAGAGATTTGTTGAGAAATTGTTATAACTCTTCTTGAAAGTCAAGTTTACACACAATAAGATTATTCTGCCTCTGAAAAAGCTCAGATGATGATGTCAAGGTTTTGGAGGTTTCTGATTGGCTAATTGACAACATTTGAGTTAATGTGAGGCACAACTGTAGAATAGTATTGAAGGAAAAGTTCAAACACACTGCTTCACTGTGTGACAACATGAGAAAATCAACAAGCCAGAATCAACAACAATACCAGATTACAATTAGCTAAATTACACTGGGAAAAAGACTAATATTGGAGACATGTGCTGTGCTCTGATGGAGCTAAGATTGAACTGTTTGACTGTAATGAGCAGTGTTACATTTGGAGGACAAAGTGGAAAGCTTACAAGCCTAGCAACACCATCCCAACTGTGAAGTATGGGGGCGGCAGCATCATGCTGTGGGGCTGTTTTGCTGCAGGAGGGACTGGTCCACTTCACAGCATAGATGGCCTCATGAAGACAGAACATCATGGAGAAATACTGAAGCAACATCTCAACACATTAGCCAGAAAATTACAACTTGGCCACAAATGTGTCTTCCAAACAGACCATGACCCTAAACATACTGCCAAATGAGTTCATATGTGCTTTAAGGACAACAGAGTGAATGTTTTGGAGTGGCCATCACAAAGCCCTGATCTCAATCCTGTAGAAAATTTGTGGGCAGAGTTGAAAAAGCTTGTGCGAGCAAGACAGCCTACCAATCTGACTCAGATACACCAATTCTGTCAGGAGGAATGGGCCAAAACTCCTGCAAACTATTGTGAGAAGCTTGTGGAAGGAGACCCAAAACACTTGACCAAAGTTATACAGTTTAAAAGCAAAGCTAAAAAACACCAAGGAAATGTGTGTAAACTTTTAATTGTCTAGAAATGAATAAAAAATCTCAAAAAACTAATTCTCTCATTATTCTGGCATTTAGCAAATGTCAATCATTTAGGTAATCCTAACAGACCTAAAATAGTAAACATTTAGTGGGATTTACCATCAGTGGCACAGTAAATCACAGTGGTAGTGCTGTCGCCTCACAGCAAGAACGTCGCTGGGTCGCTGGTTCAAGCCTCAGCTCAGTTGGTGTTTCTGTGTGGAGTTTGCATGTTCTCCCTGCCTTCGCGTGGGTTTCCTCCGGGTGCTCCGGTTTCCGCCACAGTCCAAAGACATGCGGTACAGGTGAATTGGGTAGGCTAAATTGTGTGTAGTGTATGAGTGTGTGTGTGAATGTGTGTGTGGATGTTTCCCAGAGATGGGTTGCGGCTGGAAGGGCATCCGCTGCGTAAAAACTTGCTGGATTAGTTGGTGGTTCATTCCGCTGTGGCGACCCCGGATTAATAAAGGGACTAAGCCGACAAGAAAATGAATAAATGAATGAATGAATGAATGAATGAATACTGTCAGACATTTAAAGAAAATTGGTTATGTACTTTTTTAGAGTGTATGTAAACTTCTGGCTTCAGCTGTATGTAGCTTGATTAGCTTGTTCAGGTGTGTTTGATTAGGGTTGGAGCTATACTCTCCAGGACACCGGCCCTCCAGGACCCCTGCTCTGTATGCTTGTTTTGGTGGTTAATATTACGCTCTACAAGAAGTGCAGAAAGTGTTAGAAAGGAGCCATTGAGACTGTGTGTCTGACTTCATGTGTTTGTTTTGCAGGTGTTTTGAGCGCCGCCGAATGCTCGTGTGGAAAGAATCACTTCACGTGTGCGGTCAGTGCGTTTGGCGAGTGTACGTGTATACCAGCGCAGTGGCAGTGTGACGGAGACAACGACTGTGGAGATCACAGCGATGAAGACGGCTGCAGTGAGTCCCATAATACAATGTAACAATAGCTTGATGCAATAAACTGCTGTTTATTTATTTTTTCACAGCCAGTTTTCGCCCAACTATGAAAATCAATGGGTTTGTAAAAAATCCTTTTAAAATTTAAAACATTTAATTCCAATAAATATCTGCCACCATATCAATATCAGCCATTGAATGCTACACTTAATATCATCGTTACCTGTCCTATAACAAAATTACATCAATATGTTTAAACCGATATATTGTATAAATGTATAAATTATAATAATACATTATTTCCGCTGGTTGAACCACTGCCTGACACTTTTTTTTAATTAATTTATTTTTTTAGATTAATTTTGGCCTTTTTGACTTTTTTTTTTTAGATAGGACAGCAGGGCTCGAAATTGCAACCATTTTGATCGCATATGCGCTTGAAATTTTATCTATGCGACCTTAAAATATATTTGGGAGCATTTCTGTGAGTGCTTAAAATTGTTGTGTGCGACCAGTTTTTACTGCAAAATGTTCACCACGTGCGCGGGTTCGGGAGACATTCACGCAGAATGCATCTCTAAGCTCTTTGTTTGCACTTGGAACGGGAAACGCAGCGCTCGGGAATGGTTTTAAACAGTTGTCATGTCATCTTGCTGCAGTAAACAAATCCAAGTCTGTAATGCTTGCCCCGGCTTCGCGCTCTTCTTATTGGCCCACTGCTCTAGCACTGAACGCGAATGATTGGGTAATATCAGCTGTCAATCACGCCCCTTCTGGCTTCGGATGACAGAGAGCTACTACCGCGGAAAACTAAAGCGCTAAAGATGAGATTGAAGATAACGCGGACAGATTTAGTTTTAGAAACCATGTAGTTACAAATAATGACACATCTTACTAGTGATCATGTGCTGAATGTTAATCCACCATCTACACTTTTCCAAGAGTAGAAGACTTCTGTTGGCTTCAAGTCCGCTATGAAAAGTCTGTGGGGTGGAGTTTTCAGGTAACTGTTTGCCACATCTAGCACGAGAGCTTCTGTTTAATCCTTCATATAATCGCCAGATGCTGTCCGCCGTGCAAGGGGCAGCTATATGTCAAATTTAACATCACGTACACCATCGCAAACGGGCTTAACGTTACACTAAGTAAATTAACATCGCTAACTTACTCATGAAAAGACCGGTATGGCTATTAACATGACGTATGCATATAATAAGGTACAGTATGTGTCAAAAGCATCAGTGCAATATCAGACAGCACTTGTGAGAACAGCACAGTTAACGTTATACCGTTAACAGATTCATTCAAGCAGTGTGTGCAGGGCCGGTGAGCGCTCCGTGTATGCTTTGGTCACTCAGTTCTGTTATAAAAATCTATTTTCTTGTGATCACGGGATTTTGTTGAGACATATTTTCCTCACGCACGCATATTTATATTATTTTTTTTTTGCTTGTTAGTTTGATTAGTGTTAAATTTAAATGCAATACATCTGTTTGTATAAAACGTGTAGTAACGGTGCTCGTAATTGGTGGGTGCGACTAAATTTTGGCTGATGCGCCTACATTTTTAAAGTTAGGAGCACCGGTGCTACCAAGCAAAAAGGTTAATTTCGAGCCCTGGGACAGTAATAAGACAGGAAGCGAAGTTGGAGAGAGAGAGGGTCGGGAAATATCTTCGAGCCGGGATTCGAACTCAGGACGCCCTGATGTGCTATTGCACCATATGTTGGCATGCTGCTAACCACTTAGCTATTGCATCAACATGCCTGCCACTTTTTTTATTAATTGATTTTGATTTAAGTTCAATGTTTAGTGGCTTGGTTGCTTTAATTTATGCTTTTATTTGCTTTATTTATGCACTTTTTTTGTCAAGGAATAGCTTTTGTTTATATCAACGAAAGTTAATAGCTCTAGAAAACATTCATTCATTCATTTTCTTGTCGGCTTAGGCCCTTTATTAATCCGGGGTCAACACAGCGGAATGAACCGCCAACTTATCCAGCAAGTTTTTACGCAGCAGATGCCCTTCCAGCCGCAACCCATCTCTGGGAAACATCCACACACACACTCATACACTACGGACAATTTAGCCTAGCCAATTCACCTGTACCGCATGTCTTTGGACTGTGGGGGAAACTGGAGCACCCGGAGGAAACCCACGCGAATGCAGGGAGAACATGCAAACTCCACACAGAAACGCCAATCGATCCGGGGTTCGAACCTGCGACCTTCTTGCTGTGAGGCGCCAGCACTAACTACTGCGCCACTGCTTCGTCCGCTCTAGAAATCAGTAGTTAATTAATAACTAGTTTTAAGTAGTTAATTAATAACTAATAACTAAGTTCATCAACACATTTGACATTAATTTTACAGTGGTCATATGAGTGAAATGGTTAACAAAAATCACACATGCGCATATACACAGAGTTTGTAGTGGATTCTCTGTTTATAAAACAATATTGTGATGATTTACAGAACAAAAGCGCCTCTGGATGATGGGAGAATTCATCTACAATCAATTGAAATTGATTTTGCCTCACAACAAGCATTTACATGCACTTTAAAAGTCAATTCCAGGCAGACCGAAGCCATCATTTGTCTTCATAAAATGTCATGTAGATGCTTTAGCTTGACTGAAGTCGCACTGGTCCCATAATACAGCTGTAGCTTGGCTTTGTCCAGTATGTGTGCATTAAGGCAGCCCTTAAAGGGCCATGAAACCCCCTCATTTCAGCATGGTGTTTTCACACCTCTACTTTGGAAAAAGTCAGAAAAGTGGGCGTGTCCAGCTCTGTTTAGGGGGGAGTGTCGGAGGAAGAAAAGAGGCTTGGTGTGGGAGTGTCTAATTGGGCGCGCTGAATTTCAGAGTCAAAACACACACCCACAGCGGACAATGTGACTGTGTTTACATGGACATCTGTAGTCGAATTATTTGCCAAATTATTAAATGGTGGACTTTAACTGCAGTTTGGCTCTTTCATTCAGGGAATTCATTCATGTCCCTCACGACAAACGAGATATTTGATTCGAGGAACTGCTCTAAGCGTGTATTTTTCATGCAATGTTTGATACCGCACGGCGAATGAGAGAAAAAAAAACTCAGCATTTCCCGGAAACTTAGATGCACACGGCAGGTAGCGTCAGAAAGCCGCGTGTGTTATTCCGGTCACAAAATCCTACATGAGGTTATAGTTTGGTTGTAGTGCTAACTTGTTTTCACTCTGTGCAATAGTTTTTTCGATACGAATAAAATACGAACTGAATAAACAAAGAGCACTGGTCGCTCACTTACCAAATCTGTAGAGACAGGACAATCACCAGCAACTAGAGCCGCGTCTTTATTAAGAGGAGACTACAAGCGAATCCGGATCTCAGCGTTTGCAGATGAGAACAGCTCTCAGGAAAACAATAAGACACGTAAGTTATTGTTGTCGAGCGTCGCGTACACTGTTAATCCACACGTGACTCCAGCTGCGCTCTCACAGAGAGAAAATGAAAACAAAACTTAACTGCAGCAAACTATAAAAGCAACACTTCACGCTTGTTTTGCCAACACAACGTGGCGTCTCTGTCTTCTAAACACTGTGACAGTAATGAATATTAATGAAGTTGCACAATAGAGCGCGCTGATTGGTTTGAACCAAGCCTTACTCATGCATTAATGCAGCACACTGTAAGACGTAATAAGACTCACTCTGGCACAGACGTCCAGTCTGCACGCTGTAATACACGCTGTTATGTCATGACCGTGATGCAACGGAAGTACGAATTTGCTTAAAATAACGCAAAAACAACCAATTTACACTTTTTAGTGAAATATAGGTGTCCTAATAGTGTTTTTAGCAGTGTGTGACACATATACCACTGTCAACAGCTCAAAAAATGTGTTTTGGTGTTTCGTGACCCTTTAAACACTGAACTGAACTTCAACTCTGAACACAGGACTGACACAGTTTCAGTTTACTAGAACGTCTGTTAAGCTGCTTTGACACAATCTACAGTTGAAGTTAAAATTATTAGCCCCCTTGATTTATTAGACCACTTGTTTATTTTTTCCCCAATTTTTGTTTAATGGAGAGCAGATTTTATCAGCACATTTATAAACCTAATAGTTTTATTAACTCATTTTTAATAATGAATTCATTTTATCTTTGTCATGATGACAGTAAATAATATTAGACTAGATATTTTTCAAGACGTTTCTATACAACTTAAAGCGACATTTAAAGGCTTAACTTGGTTAATTAGGGTAACTAGGCAGGTTAGGGTAATTAGGCAAGTTATTGTATAACGATGGTTTGTTCTGTAGACTATCGAGAAAAAAATTTGCTTAAAGGGGCTAATAATATTGTCCCTAAAATGGTGTTTAAAAAATTAAAAACTGCTTTTATTCTTGCTGAAATAAAACAAATAAGACTTTCTCTAAAAGAAAAAATATTATCAGACATACTGTGAACATTTCCTTGCTCTGTTAAACATCATTTGGGAAATATTTAAAAAAAGAAGAAAAAAATTCAAAGGGGGGCTAATAATTCTGACTTCAACTGTACATTGTAAAAGCACCAGAGAAATAAAGAGGAATTGAATTGAATGTTAAAAATAGATTTGACAAACACAGCAAGTTTATATTTAATACAATTAAGCGATGTTAATTGTTCACTTGCATTCATAGTGCGCTACAAAAGCACAGGAATTTCCCGGAGATGTTTCTGTAAACTCTGGATGCCTCAGGCTTCATTCTGCAGCCGCAGCACAATAGAAAGCATCTGTCCGAGCGCTAATTCCCGAATTCCCGCACCTGACAGGCCTGTGCGACCTGCAGAGAGCCGATGTGCTCAGCGGAGCGCGTCACACTCTACAGGACCCGATTGAAGACACTTACTCCAGGAACACCATTAAGGAGCCTCGTCAGCCTAACAATGGCCTCCTCTCAATGCTGCGGTCAGAAAAACACTGTCAGAGCCTGAACACGCAGAAAGACTCAGGAGGAGTTTCTTCCTCCAGGGAATTTTTTTTAATGAGGAGCTCTGGAAATTTGACTACGCGCAGAACACACACACATGTGCACTACATAAACATGCACACGACTATATATGCATAGTGTGCTGGTTTTATATTCATATACAGTTTGTGCATGCGTGCGAGCGTGCACACATAAACTACACACCATTAACCCAAGTTAAACCCTACCCAAATCACCAAACCTGCACCTTACACAACCCATATCCCATCCACAAATGTTCTGCAATACATTACGAACACCGTATGTACTTTGTATTTATATTGCAATACAAGTATATTAGAAATGAAGGCCACCTTATATAATATAAAGTGGTACCTGTGCATTCAAGGTGTAAGGCAGGGGTCATCAAACATGTTCCTGGAGGGCCGGTGTCCTGCAGATTTTAGCTCCAACCCTAATCAAACAACCTTATCAAGGTCTTACTAGGTATACTTGAAACATCCAGGCAGGTGTTGAGGCAAGTTGGACCTAAACCAGGGGTGGGCAAACTCGGTCCTCGAGGGCCGGTGTCCTGCATAGTTTAGCTCCAACTCTTATTTAACAAGAACCCCGTTAGTCGTTTCTAATCATATTTTTGCAATATTTTGCAAGAATTTAAATCTATAGTCTTTATTTTTCTAAAGTCGTTCTGTGACTAAAATATTATTTTAATAAATGTATCCTTTAATAAATCTGTTTTGTTCAGATGCACCCTAATATATGACCTATATTCACTGAGAAATCGATCAAAATATTCATTTGCAAAATGTGGTGTTCTCATTTCTGTTGTATATTCTGAATATTCAGTTTAATGCATCGCTCAGAATGCCCAAAGATGCGTTTGTAATTAATAATTGGTTTTCTTTTCGTCTCCTTCCTCCAGTATTGCCCACATGTTCACCGCTGGACTTTCACTGTGAAAACGGCAAATGCATCCGCCGCTCGTGGTTGTGCGACGGAGACAACGACTGCGAGGACGACTCCGATGAACAAGACTGTCGTGAGTTAAATAATCTTTCTGTTGTTTTGTATTTATGTTTTTTTTTTCTAGAACTGATGCATTGACACCGAAAAGTCAGCTCTGTTTTATGATTTCAAGATTTTAGGGATTCACGTTATTGTAGTTTTTGTCAATATCTAATCATTTTAAACTCCTTTTGGATGATGGGCATTGCTGATAATAACTATCTCTTTTTCTAGTGTGTGGGTTTTCAGTAAAGTGCTATTTTACAACAGTCAGTTTTGTAAATGTTATTCCCCATAAGTGATACCGAATATCTGTATTCTATAAACAGCATTTTTATATTATGTTTGTATTTTTATATAAAGTAGTGTGCTGCAGACCTCTTTGCCAGATCACCATCTCGATCTCAATGTTTTTTTTTTTAACCTGGTTAAAGAAATAGCCAAATCTGGAGCTAATCTAACAAAGTTATTTATGATATTGGTCCATAAATTAGTACACCCAAATTTATATGTTAGGGGAAAAAATATATAAAATTAAAATAATTGGCAAAAGAACTAGAACTAAAAACTAGTCTGTAATTTGTATATTTTGCAATGTTTTGTGGGAATTTTATTGTATTATCTTTCTATTTCTAAAGATGTCTGGTGACTAAAATTGTATTTTAATAAATATATTTGTTTAATAAATCTGTTTTGGTCCAATTCAACAAAACATATGACCAATATTCACAAAGAAATGAATGCAAATATTATTTTATGCTGAGCATAAGCTGTATAATATACAGTTAAAGTCAGAATTATTAGCCCCCCTGTTTATTTTTTCCCCAATTTCTGTTTAATGGAGAGCAGATTTCTTCAACACATTTCTAATCATAATAGATTTAATAACTCATCTCTAATAACTGATTTATTTTATCTTTGTCATGATGACAGTAAATGGTATTTGACTAGATATTCTTCTATACAGTTTAAAGTGACATTTAAAGGCTTAACTAGGGTAATTAGGGTAACTAGGCAGGTTAGGGTAATTAGGCAAGTTATTGTATAATGATGGTTTGTTTTGTAGACAGCCGAAAACAAAAATAGCCTAAAGGGGCTAATAATATTGACCTTAAAATTGGGTTTAAAAAATTAAAATCTGCTTTTATTTTAGCCGAAATAAAACAAATAAGACTTTCTCCAGAAGAAAAAATATTATCAGACATACTGTGAACATTTCCTCGCTCTGTTAAACATCATTTAGGAAATATTTTAAAAAGAAAAATTAATTGAAAGGGTGCTAATAATTCTGACTTCAACTGTATATAACATGTACATATATAGCAAACAAGAGCTAGAAAACATGTAATAGTTCACTGCAAACAAATATATCTACGCCAATATTTCTTTCTATGCACATTTGAGTTGCTGTTTTCTGTCGGACATGACGATAATATTTCTAAGATGTCCTCATTGTTCTTGTCCATCCTCTAGCTGCAAACAAAGACCATCTTTTAATGCTACAATATAACATCTTAAAATTATTTATTTGACCCTTAAATAGTGCTCTAAAAGCCCGCTGTGTAGGATTTAGTAAGAAACAAACTGAATAATCATATTTTATTTAATGAAAGTCTTGACCTCTCTAGTAAATCTCCCGTGTGCATTCAGGGGAGCATAAAAGCGGCAGCTCTGTCATTAAATAATTATACCATAATAATTTAATGATACCTTTGTGCTCCCTTATGTAGTTCAAAGACGGTCACTATTGACTCACATGCAGGTCAGATAAGGTGCTTATACAAAACAACCCGTCAGTAAAGTGTATTCATAGTGAAATTGGTAGCAAAACAGCCAAATATTAAAGTAGCTTAATAGAGACTCTGCAACCTAGAGTGCAAGACAATTTTATTTTTGTTACAGTGTTTCCTTATTATTTTTCTTCTTATTTTAGTTTGGCAGAAATATGTTTACACTCACTGGCCACTTTATTAGGTACACCTTAGTAGTACTGTATTGGACCCCCCCCCTATTCAGTACTGCCTTAATGCTTCGTGGCAGAGATTCAACAAGACACTGGAAATATTCCTCAGAGATTTTGCTCCACATTGACATGATAGCATCACACAGTTGCTGCAGATTTGTCGGCTGCACATCCATGATGCCAATCTCCCATTCCACCTCATCCCAAAGGTGCTCTGTTGGATTGAGCTCTGGTGACTGTGGAGGCCATTTGAGTACAGTGAACTCATTGTCATGTTCAAGAAACCAGTCTGAGATGATTCATGCTGTATGACATGTTGCGTAATCCTGCTGGAAGTAGCCATCAGAAGATGGAGACACTGTGCTCATAAAGGGATGGACATGGTCAGCAACAATACTCAGGTAGGCTGTGGTGTTGACACGATGCTCAATTGGTACTAATGGGTCCAAAGTGTGCCAAGAATATATCCCCACACCATTACACCACCACCACCACCACCACCCGCCTGAACCCCTGATACAAGGCAGGATAGATCCATGCTTTCATGTTGTTGATGCTAAATTCTGACCCGACCATCTGAATGTGGCAGCAGAAATGGAGACTCATCAGATTGTAGCCTCAGTTTCCTGTTCTTAGCTGACAGGAGCGGCACCCGGTGTGGTCTTCTGCTGCTGTAGCCCATCCGCCTCAAGGTTGGACGTGTTGTGTGTTCAGAGATGCTCTTCTGCAGAGCTCGGTTGTAACGAGTGCTTATTTGAGTTACTGTTGCCTTTCTATCAGCTGGAACCAATCTGGCCATTCTCCTCTGGCCTCATCAACAAGGTATGTGCGCCCACAGAACTGCCGCTCACTGGATATTTCCTCTTAATCAGACCATTCTCTTAAACCCTAGAGATGGTTGTGCGTGAAAATCCCAGTAGATCAGCAGTTTCTGAAATACTAAGACCAACCCATCTGGCAGCAACAACCATGCCACTTTCAAAGTCACTTAAATCCCCTTTCTTCCCCATTCTGATGCTCAGTTTGAACTGCAGCAGATCGTCTTGACCATGTCTACATGCCTAAATGCGTTGAGTTTTTGCCATGTCATTGGCTGATTAGAAATTCGCGTTGAGCTGTTAGACAGGTGTACCTAATAAAGTGGCCGGTGAGTGTATATTGCCTACAGAACAAACCTCTTTTGTCCAATCGCTTGCTTAATCAACCTTTTGTTAACCTCATTACCCAAGCTAAGCCTTTAAATTGAAAATTTAGCAGGTTATTAACATATTTGCAGTGGTAATCATCTGTCCATTCATGCTAGCAAGTTTCTATCACGTTTATTATGTTGTGAATAGTATGTTTCAACACTATGGATGCATGAATTAACATGTTAGCATTTCTAGCACATCTAAAGTTTTAGCTATTGTTAGCGTATTAATATAACCCTTTGTATAAATGCTCTTCATTCATCAAAATAATACGATAGATTAGTTTGCTCTCAGTCTGAGCAGATTGTGTTGTGCTGAAGGATCAGTATGTGCGTCTGAGAGACAAACAGAAGCAGTTTTCTGTGCGTCTGACCCATATTTCCAGCGATGTTCTCCGGGGGGCTCCGCTCATGATGGGGGGTCTGTCTGCCATAAGCTGCCATAAATATTTCATTCGCATGCTTTAAGTAAGTGTGTTTTCCAGCACTCGTCTCCTACATTCACCATCTCTCTTTCTGCTTCCGTCTGTCCTCGTGTTATATCTGTAATATCTTACAAATCATATTCTTATTGTTTTATATATTATATTATTCTATCATTATATTGCATGATGTGGTAATCCATATGTCTTCTGTTGATTAGTGTCATGGATTGCAAAAACGGTTTAAAAGTGCTGCATGTTTGATGCATTTTTTGGATATTTATTATATATATATATATATATATATTATATATTATTTATTTTATTTATTTATTTTTTATTTATTATGTTATTTTATTTTGTTAAAATTAAATTTATGTATATACTTTTTATTTTCGTTTATTTTTTTATTTTATTTAGTTTTTAGGTTTTTGTTTTATTTTATATATTTTATAATTATTTTATTTTATTGTATTTTTTATTTGTGCAAGTTACATTTATTTATATAAATAAATGTTTTTGTTTTTTTTTATTTTAAGTTGTTTATTTTTTATTTTATTTACTTTTATTCTTAGTTTTTTATTTGTTTTATTTTATTTTGTGTGTATTTAAATTTTATATATATATATATATATACATATATATATAATTTTTATTTACATGTAGTTTATTTATTTTTATTTTTATATTTTTAATTTTTTGTTTTATTTATTTTATTATTTGTATTTTATATCGTCATTTATTTTTATTTTTTTTGTGCAAACTGAATATATATAAATATTTTTGTGTTTTATTTATTTATTATTTGTATTTTATTTATATTTATTTCTTTATTTTATTTTGTGCAAATTTAATATATGCATATTTAATTTTCATTTTCATTTATTTATTATTTTTTTATTTAGTAATATTTTTTATTTCATTTTATGTGCCAGTGAATCATGCATATTTTGTGTTTTTCTGCGTTGTCAAAAAGTACTGACACACTTGTTTGTCAAAATTGTTTGTCATTTGCTTTGGACTGCAAAAAAAAACAAAACACAAAATGCATGATTAATTTCACAAAAACAGCTATATAAATTATTTTTATCAAACATGCAGCACTTTTGAACAGTCTTTGTAATATAATATCACTGCAGTGCAAGTGCAAGGTATAACATCAGTTATAATGCAGAAATAATGCATGGAGATGAAGCGGCTATAAAAGACTGTAATATAAAATATGAGCTATCAGAAAAGTGAGTTAAAAAGCGTCGAGGGAGGAGATCTTCCAGAGAGCTCTGCTGCAGTTTGTTATGATGTTTTGTGCATATGGTGTGTAGAAGAGCAGTGGTGCGGAAACACTGTCTGGCATGTGTCAGGTGTGTGTGTGTGTCTGGCGCAGTTGTTGGTGTAAATACAAACAGCATCACATCTAGTCCTGCTGTTCTGGAGTCTCCTGCTGGTGTCAATAAAATGTTTTGAGCACCACCAGTGCTCTGGATCATGTCAGTCCTATAAAAGTAGCTTTACTTTTTCCCTCCAATTTTGTTTTATATATGATTTTTTATACCACTTTTAATGGGTATTAATTATTAATCATTATTAAGGACAAGGGTGATGCTAGGGTGGGGGGCAAGTTAGGACTATTCTAAGGGCCCATACATTTAGGGGGGCCCCAAAGACATTGTCAAGGGCCTGCGCCAAACTCCCCCCCCCGCTCTTCACTTATATCCGCAATCTCAACTAACCAATCTCAAGGTTAGTTTGATTCAGCTTAAAAATTAAAGGCAACCAGTATTTTTTTACACAGTGTTGGCACAAAAAAGGGTAGGAGTGAAAATAAATGTCCTGTTTATTAATTATTAATTCTGTATCTTGTGTGATTTGTGTTTTTAAACAGCTCCGCGAGAATGTGAGGAAGACGAGTTTCACTGTCAGAATGGCTACTGCATCCGCAGCCTGTGGTACTGCGATGGGGACAATGACTGTGGAGACAACAGTGACGAACAGTGCGGTAAAGCTCATTTACACTGATCTCAGGACCATTTCAAGTTTGGAAACACACTTCATTATGCTTTTAAAAGTGCAAATTGTAACATATGGGATAATGCACATCCAGCCGGTTGTCCTTGCAGAATTAAACCAGATAGGTTTATCAGCTCTTGTATAAGACTGAAGGACTTTATACAGCAAAAACAACAAACTAGATGTACATTATCCTGCTTATGACACAAAAATTGATTATAATTTAAAAAAGCTCTTTTGCTCTGATCTCAGGCCCATTTCATGTTTGGAAACACATTTCAATAGGCTTTTAAAAGTGCAAATTGTAACGTAAGGGGTAATGCACATCCAGCCGGTTGTTAAAGTAAAGCAATCAATAATGATTTCAATATCTGATGCATTGACTTCTGTATCAAAGTACATGTAAAGCACTTAAATATGTGCCAATTGTAACATAAGGGATAATGCACATCCAGCCGGTTGTTAAAGTAAAGCAATCAATAATGATTTCAATATCTGATGCATTGACTTCTGTATCAAAGTACATGTAAAGCACTTAAATATGTGCCAATTGTAACATAAGGGATAATGCACATTCAGCCGGTTGTCCTTGCAGAATTAAACGCGATAGGTTTATCAGCTCTTGTGTAAGACTAAAGGACTTTATAAAGCAAAAACAACCCAACTAGATGTACATTATCCTGCTTATGACACAACACTACACTATTAATGCCTCTGCACACCGTGATGCTGTTTGCTCATGATTTTCAATGACATTTAATGCCTCATGAGTAAACAAAGGGAGCCAACATGATCATGCATTCCATAAAAGTACACTTTAAATTGTCAAATAGGGATTTTAATAGCTGATGCAATGACTTGTATATCAAAGTACATGTAAAGTATTACATTATAACAATAAAGCCAATTTACACTGCCCTCAGGATCATTTCAAGTTTGGAAACACACTTTAATATGCTTTTAAAAGTGCAAATTGTAACATATGGGATAATGCACATCCAGCCAGTTGTCCTTGCAGAATTAAACCAGATAGGTCTATCAGCTCTTGTATAAGACTGAAGGACTTTATACAGCAAAAACAACCAACTAGATGTACATTATCCTGCTTATGACACAACACTAAACTATTAATGCCTGTGCACACCATGATGCTTTTTGCTCATGATTTTTAATTGTGTTTAATGCCTCATGAGTAAACAAAAGGTGCCAACGTGATCATGCATTCCATAAAAGCGCACTATAAATTGTCAATAAGGATTTTAGCAGCTGATACAATGACTTGTATATCAAAGTACATGTAAAGTACTTGATGATAATAAAAAAAGCTGATTTAAACTGATCTCGGGATCATTTCAAGTTTGAAGACACACTTCAATATGCTTTTTAAATATGTGCAAAATGTAACATAAGAGATAATGCACATCCAGCCGGTTTTCCTTGCAGAATTAAATCCGACAGTTTTATCAGCTGTTGTGTAAGACTGAAGGACTTTATACAGCAAAAACAACCAACTAGATGCTAATTTTCCTGCTTAAGACATTAAACTAAACTATTAATGCCTCTGCACACCATGACACTTTTTGCTCATGATTTTCAATGACGTTTAATGCCTCATGAGTAAACAAAGGGAGCCAACGTGATCATGCATTACATAAAAGCACGCTATAAATTTTCAATAATGATTATAGCAGCTGATGCAGTGACTTGTATATCAAAGTACATGTTCTTGATAATAATAAAAAGAGCTCATTTACACTGATCTCGGGACCATTTCATGTTTGGAAACACACTTCAATATGCTTTTAAAAGTGCAAATTGTAACGTAAGGGGTAATGCACATCCAGCCGGTTGTAAAAGTAAAGCAATCAATAATGATTTTAATAGCTGATGCATTGACTTCTGTATCAAAGAACATGTAAAGCACTTGATTTTAATTTGAAATGGAGTGTAATTTGAAATGGAGTGTAATTTTAAATGCGCTGTCCTTTATGTGCTCTCATTAAATATTTCTGCAGTAACAGCTGGGCAGGCCTTATGCTTTCTAGCCATCGGGTTAAAATATAAAATATTCATATAAAGTTTACCATTCAAGGTTGCCTCGTTCTTCAAGCTCTACAAGCATGTCTTTCCAACGTATAGATCTAATTTAATCTAGATTTATCTAGATTTAATAATTATATTCAATAAATGTGGATTTAGGGGTTTATACTTAACAAGTTGTGTTCAAAATCTTTAATTAACACCAGTGGACACTGCAGAATATGCTGTATTTGTGTGGTTGTTGCAGCTATATGTCTGCCTTTTATTTAGTTTTTTATATTTCTGATCAATTTTTCTGCAGTCTTCACTCCCATGCACTTGTCTGAAGCTGTTTTTGTGCATGCATGTGTGTGTTCAGATAAGAGGAAGTGCTCTGATAAGGAGTTCCGCTGCACTGATGGAAGCTGCATCGCTGAACACTGGTACTGTGACGGAGACTCTGACTGCAAAGACGGAACTGATGAAGAGAACTGCCGTGAGTTCATCCTGGCTTAATCACTGCTCTTATTTAGCACATTTGCAGACCTTCATTGCTTCTTAGTTCCTTCTTAATTCTTTCCTTTATTGTTACCTTCATTCATTCCTTCCTTCCTTATTTCATTCATTCCTTTCTACCTTAATTCCTTCTTTTATTCCTTTGTGCCTTCCAGCCTTCATTTCTTCCTTAATTCCTTCCTTCTTGCCTTTCTCCTTTGTTCCTTCCTTCCTTCCTTCCTTCCTTCCTTCCTTCCTTCCTTCCTTCCGTCATTCATTCATTCATTCATTCATTTATTCATTCATTCATTCATTCATTCATTCATTCATATATTGCTATATTCATTCATGCCATACTTCCATTTTTTATTCGTTCATTCATTTATTCATCCCTTCCTTTCTTCATTCGTTCGTTCGTTCATTCATTCATTCATTCATTCATTCACATATTCATATATTCATTCATGCCCTCCTTTCTTCAATTATTGATGCATTCCTTCATGCCTTCCTTTATTCATTCATTCATTCATTCATATATTGCTGTATTCATTCATGCCCTCTTTCATTCGGTGATTTATTATTAATTCATTCATATATTGCTATATTCATTCATGCCCTCCTTCCTTTATTTATTCATGCATTTTTTTATTCATCCATTCCTTCCTTCATTCATTTATTCATTCATTCATATATTGCTGTATTCATTCATTCATATATTGCTATATTCATTCATGCCCTCCTTCCTTCATCTATTAATGCATTCATTCATTCATCCCCTCCTTCCTTCATTCATTCATTCATTCATTCATTCATTCATTCATTCATTCATATACTCATTCATTCCCCCTTTATTTATTTCTCCATTCATTTCTTCATTCATTCATTCATTCGTTCATTCATATATTCATTAATGCGTCCCTTCCTTCCTTCATTCCTTCCTTTTTTTCTTTATGCATTCATTCATGCCTTCTTTCTTTCCTTCCTTCCTTCCTTCCTTCCTTCCTTCCTTCCTTCATTCTTTCATTCATGCCTTTCTTCAGTAATTCATTCACTCCTTTATTCCTTCCTTCCTTCATTCATACCTTCTATCCTTCCTTCTGTCCTTCATTCACGGCTTCCTTCTTTCATTCTTTCACGCCTTCATTCATTATTTCACACAAAGTGTGCACGTTTATATTTGCCAGCTCATTTTGTAAATGAAAGCTTGAAATCTGCACTTGTCTCGTTGCTTGTAAAAGGTGAAATGCAGAATTCCTCAACTCTCCTTAAGGTGATCGCAAATAGTAATCTGCCACTTCTTCAGCTGAACAGTGTTTCCCATATGTGTATTTCTGTTGCGCTTGTTTTGGTTTGTTTGATGTATGTAAATAGGTTTTTGGAGGGATTTGTTGGCCTGTTTGAGGGAGCGCTGTGTGTGTGGGGGTGTGTAAATCACGTTATATAATTTCCCTCTCCAGCTTCTGATGTGATGACGGCCACGTGCAGCGTTGAGGAGTTCCAGTGTGCGTACGGACGCTGCATTCTGGACATTTACCACTGCGATGGAGACGACGACTGCGGAGACTGGTCTGACGAGTCCGACTGCTGTAATTATCATTCAAGCCTTCTTTTTAAATTGAATTGAATCATTATTTAATTCAGTTTTACTTTAATTTTTTGTTATTATTTGTCCATGATGACAGAAAACATTACCTCTGACTACGTGTACATGAACATCAGTAATCTACTTATTTGGCTTAATCTGAATAAGACGATAATATTATTTATGTGTTTACATGAGCTACCTTTTGAATGTTCCTCTCATGCTCATTTCAATATAAATAAGCATTCATTCATTCATTCATTGAACCGCCAACTTATCCAGCAAATGTTTTACTCAGTGGATGCCCTTTCAGCAGCAACCCATCACCGGCAGACATCCATACGCACTCATTCACACACACACACACACACACACACACATACACACACACACTACAGACAATTTAGCTTACCCGATTCACCTACTGTATACCACATGTTTTTGGGAATCAAAGCACCCGGAGAAAATCCTGGCCAACACTGGGAGAACATGCAAACTCCACACAGAAACGCTTACTGACCCAGCCGGGGCTCGAACCAGCAACATTCTTGCTGTGAGGCGACTGTGCTGCACCACCGTGCTGCCTCAATATGCATTCATATTAGAATACATTTTTTATTTATTACTTTTATATTTTTATATATATATATATATATATATATATGGATGTGTGTGTGTGTGTGTGTGTATATATATATATATATATATATATATATATATATATATGTATATATATATATGGATGTGTGTGTGTGTGTGTGTATATATATATATATATATATATATATATGTATATATATATATATATATATATGTATATATAT